GAAACACTGCACAATCAGTCTGAGGACCAGGGGGATGACACATCTGGGCTGACAGAGAAGAAATCTGTCACAGGTTGGTGTGCTGCACATTGACTGTTATGGAGCATGCAATTCATTTATACAAAGAAAAGGGAAAAAAAACTTCTTTGCTTCTTCTCCCCCTGAATCTCCTTCCAGAGGTTGTGTCTCTGTGTGGCTTGTGTCCCTCCCTCGGGCACCATGTGCAGGAGGAAGAGAAGTCCTGGGAGGAGCAGCTGGATGCCCACCAGGAGCAGCTGGAGAAGGAGATGCAGGAGGCGAGGAGGATGGTGTTCCGCCTACAGGTGAGGCCCGGAGATTAAACAATTAAAATAATGAACCACTGGATTTTAATACAAGCACATTGACAGAAAGTATAGATAGTGCAGATGTGGCCGAGGAAGGTAACATAACACTTACATTCTTTTAGAGGTTTAATATTTATAATCTCCAGATCAGCTGGTCAGACTGACAGTCTAATATATTTTATTCCATTGTTAAATCAATATTACCAGTATTAATATTTGAAAAAATCGCTATGCTATTACTAATTAGTATTTACAGAAGAGGAAAATAACAAAACTTAAAAACAAAAAACTGAATTTTGATTATTCTTATTATCAAGTCAATCATGTCATCAGAATGATTTTGTATATGTAGCTCTGTATTGTATCCGGGGGTAAGAGCAGGTAAGAAGCTGAAGTATGTGTGTACTCATGCAGGCTATTCAATATTATTTCAATTTGACGCAGTTTAGATAAGTGTAATTTACCAGCTTTATCAGCTAAAATGGAAACCTTATTGTGCAGCCAAGTATAACAATCCCAAACAGCTGTATTTATAAATACACACAAATGAACCAGGCTTCTCTTCCATGTTTATTTAATTATGACCCCTCATAGGCTTTTACTCTATGGGTCTATACATGTATGTGTGTATTTTGTCCTCAGGCCTTGCTACTCCATGGCTCCCTCCCCGAAGAGGACCAGGACGGGTCTGTGAGCTTCGGAGATACCCGGGCTAACGCTGAACAGCAGCTGGTAACAGTATCTGCTCTCGCGCTAAACTCGCCACACTAACACTTTGTCGTTATTCTGGGTGAAGTGTCAGTGCCGCCACTTCTGTTGCCCCTCCCAGAGTGGCTGTCTGCTGCCTTCTCATACGCTCTGACATTTTTCTATATTCTACAACCACGCTGCTCACACCTTCTCCCTTTGAAGGTTCTGTTCCGCGGTCGCCTGGACCAAAGCACGGAGGAAGCCCTTGATCTCAAGGTGCAGTTGTTAACTGTAGTTACGTTTAATGTAGCAAAGAACCCCCTCCTCTAATCCCTCTGTCAATTTGTGTGGCTCTTAGAGGGAACTCCTGCGAAACAAACAGGAGGCACGCCACCTTCAGGCCATCAAGGTAAACCTGTTCAATATGTCTCCCATTGCGCGTGGATTGAAACGGATTAAGGGATTTAAATCAATCTATTCTACTCTCCCAGAATGATGGGACTTTATGTGTGTTTTCTTCTTTTGTGTTCTTAATTCTTTATACAGGTGATGAAGTTTAGAGGAATGCTGTTCATGTATTTGTATGCAGGTGATTGATCTCCCCCTCTTTCTCACTAGGATGCTTTACAGCAGCGCCTGGGCGTGCAGGAAGATGCTGTGCTGCAAATAAAACAGGAACTACTGAGGTCCAACATGGCTAAGGATCAGCTGGAAGTGGAAAATGTGAGACAAGTGATTATTTCCCTATGACACAATAACATATTTGACTTGACTGACCTATGATAGATGTACATCATAGGCCGATATGTCTGTTTGCAGGCGGAGCTTAAACACAGGTTGAGTGAAGGGAACAAACTACTAACTGAATATGAGGTATCGTCTTTTATTTTGTTTCAACATCAGGCAATCTTTGGGTAGATAAATGGATATGCACATTTATTTCACGTCTTTCTTGTGACAACAGCAGCAGCTCGGAAGGAAGGACAGAATACTGCAGCAGCAGCAGCAAAAGCTTGATGATGCTCAACATAAAGCACATGATGTCAACCTTGGACGGGTAAGGATCATGATGCATTTCAAGTCTTTAAACAATGTATTGTGTGTGAATGTTGTATTTAAATAATTTATCCGTGGAACATTTTCAAAAGAAAGGTTATAAGGTTCACTACTCAAAGAAGCAAATTCAATTTAAACTACTTACTAATTAATTAAGTTAAATACGAGAAGTGAATCAGCTGACAAAACACATCAACAAGACACGAAAAAAACAATTACAGCAATATAAGATAAAGGAATAGAAGATTAATTTAAATGAAAAACATTTTAATGAGAAAAGTTTTTAATAAGAAAATGAACATGGCATTTGTTGATAATAATGATTTTATAGAACAACACCAGCATAATCTGCCTAATTTACACATTTAACTGTATTGTGTTTTATTTTGCAGTCATTCAGGACTGAAAGTGCTGGTTACAATAACTCAGTGACTTCAATGTCTCCTTGCAGTATTCCAACATAGTGCCCCAGTACGTAAGCTTGTTTTATATTAATCAGAGATCAATGCCATCCATTGCTGTTCATTTAGTCTGTTTTGATGGATTGTTGTATGGAAATAAACTCATGGTCGGAAGAGGAAAACAAATATTTTATAGTTTTGCATGAAAATAAAGAAAAGTAAAATTGATTAAAAACATGTAAAAAATATACCAAATCAGAACAATAAAATAGATCATCAGAAGACACCGAGACAGTAACTGACATTTATTGTTTTCTTGGTGAACTGGGCCTCCGTAGTTCTTGCCTCTCAATGTGAAAAAGGGGAGTGTGTTTATAGAAGCTGTTTGTGTCAGGGGGAAGAGCTGCAGCTGGTCAGGGAGGCACTGCGCAGTCTGAGGGACAGCTTCTCTGGCCATGACCCCCAGCATCACACCCTGGACACCTTGGAGCAAGGCGTGGCCAGTCTCATGGACCGATTACTCACTTTGGACAGCCAGCGCAGACAGGACAGAGGAGTACGCACTCTCACTCGCGCAAACACACGCGTGTCATTTATGTGAAGTAATCTTAATAGGTGGCAGCTCATCTGTCACCTGATGAGTGAGAAATGCACATCATATTGGTTTCCGTGAGTAATTGTGTCTCCCTCCAGGAGGAATTTAAATCCCCGGGACGCAGAGCCAACTCGGCGGACCGTGACTCCTGGCCCCAGAGCTCAAGTGAGACAAACAAAACCCTTGTTGGTTTAGGATTCGTCATCTCAACTCTGGTTGTTGAATCAAACTGTGCTGTGATTTTACACTTGCTACGTATGGAGGGGCATTATTGGCTCTGTGGCCACAGCCAGTTTGCACTGGCAGGTTGTGAACAACTGTATTTGTTGTTTCCTGTGATTATTTCCAGAAATGGCGCACTCGCTCAGCAGCCCGGGCCTAGACACCACCGTCTGCACTAAAGTGCTCTACTTCACCGATCGCTCGCTCACTCCGTTTCTGATTAACATCCCAAAAAGGTGAAAATAAAGACACTTTATACAGCAGTGTTATTGCTGTTCTGGTTAGAGCTGCATGCAGAGCACACATGGCTTGATTTTAAATCGCGCAAGCTTCGTATAGCTTGAATATCTGTGCTGGTTAGATGTTTATTTTAGAATAGGCTTAATGTCTGGGTGGGTGTATGTGTGCATCTGTCATGGCTGATGGTGTGCTCTCACAGGCTGGGCGAGGTGACGCTGCGAGACTTCAAAGTTGCTGTGGACAGACACGGCAGTTTCAGATACCACTTCAAGGCCCTCGACCCGGAGTTTGGCACAGTGAAAGAAGAGGTAGAAGTGAAAGTCAAAATTAACCACTACTAATTTTACAACTTCAGCTTTCAAATATAAAATGTCTGTTTTGGAGTAAGCCGTGCTAATAGTAGCACTGCAGGAGGGCCAAGTAGTCCTTTTCATTGTCTGTCCGGACCTTTGTACGTTATAGATGCAAGTGGTTCTCAGATGCTTTTGGATGTTGAATGTTCAGGTATTCCAAGACGGAGCAGTCGTGCCTGGCTGGGAAGGGAAGATTGTAGCGTGGGTGGAGGAGGACCATGGAGAGAGGAGGTAGAGCCCAAATAGCACAGATCACCGCTACAAACCTCAGTTCTCACTGGACCAGGATTTCACAGAAAATACTCGTGAGGCCATGATAGAAAAGCATGATGCCAATAACTGGGACCAATCGCTTTACACCGTTTTCCTACGAAACCATGTTTTCAAAGTGAATGTTTCATGTAAAAGTAATTTCACCTGACATTTGTGTAAGCCTACTACTTTTTTAAGGGAATTGTTTTCTCTAAATGAATTTGTGGAGCTACCAATTAATAGTAAGCAGTGCCACACTGGAAACTGACAATGTAGAAATTGCAATTTACAATAAATAACAAGTTTTTCTCTAAAAGGCTTTTATCGCTGATAGTATTCAAACCTTAACATAAGTGTTTTGTGACTTTTGTCCCACGTTCCGGATTGCCAAACAGTGATGTTGCTCTTCATCAATGTTGATGTTTTAATAAACATGAATTATCCCATGGATCATTTTGTTGTCAATTACTCCCCGGGCTTACGGTAATGACATTGTACATCAGCTCCTAGCCATTAACACCTCCACTCATACACCCACACATTTATAAACACAACCCACAGTTTTTTTATTTATGTCAATTATTTTTTGGGGTTAAGAATTACATTTGCTGTTGCAGATCAACCCACACAGCACTAAGGGACACAGAGGGATATTTGTTTCAGTAAAAACATCATTTGGATGCGGAAGAAAATCACTTTAACGTTCGCGAGTCTTTTTCGTTGCATAGCAGCAGGTTTTTGTTTTGTTTTTCACTTTGCAGCCTGATCTCCAAAACCTGTTAGTAAAAATGTAAACGAAAATCTTGAAGATACAAATTCGTAGTGATACATACTAAATAAATACGGACTGGCACTTGATGACGTCACCCTATTCAAAGTGAAAGGGGACCTGCACCCCGTAAAGTCTAACGATGTAAAATAAACGTGTTATGATTGCATTTTTAACGAGAAATCAATCTTGTTAAATGTAAGATTACAATACTAACTCTAACCCCCTTAAAAAATCCAACATGGCGGAGAGACGTTCACTCAAGAATCCAAGATATTGTCAGGGCCAGAATTTAATTTAGCCTTACAATCGCAGTTTCTTTGGCTTATTTCCAGCACAACAAGTAACTTCTGTGTTTATTTGTTTCTCCCTATAGTCAATTAGTTAAAACAACATCCACTTTTAAAGTAAGCCTTCGTGTTTTCTTGTTAAAAATGGCAGTTGCAGTGTCTTCAATCACGGTTTTGGGGAATTCCAAAAGCAAATGGTAGACGTCCTCCACCTCAAGTAGGACGTCGTCCTGTAAGACAAAAATACACTCAGCACACTGTTTGGCTCGTAAATGTAGAAAGAGCTTTATGTATTTTTTATTAAATTCAACAACGGAATGACACATACTGGATTCTAAAGTGGTTTATTGTAAGCGTCCCGAGGTGAGTGAATAACCACTAACCTTGGAGATTCTCAGCTGGCACTCTGACATGGAGCGTACCTTTGGCAGATCCACTGTCAGCTCCATGCTGTGAGCACTTCCGACTATATTGGTCTTCACCTCAAGTTGATACTTTGGCTTCTCAGGCTGCACAAATGTAGTTGAGATGACCTGGATCAAATTAGTCTTTTTGTGCTCTGCAGGTCTGGAGATGATTTGACCTGCTGGCTCCTTGTGTTGATTCTCAGACCGTAGAGAGGAGATTTGCTGAAGAAGGGCAGAAGGGTCCTGAGTAGCTATGAAAAAAACCCATTATGGGTCATAAAAAAACTGGTCGAAGGTGAAAGATGATACAACTAAGGTGGCCAAAGGGGAAATAGTTCTATCATAACGGGCTTGTAGCAGGTTATTGATGTGTGAGACATATTGCTCTACCTATGTCCGGTTGGCTCGACGTGTTGGACCACTGCTCATACCCGAGTCGGCGGCGCACGTCCTCTGGGCTGCTTTTTGGGCTGCAGTTGACGACAGTGTAATGCTGCGATAAACTCATCCCATGCTGCTGCCGGGCAAAGCCCACGGCCAGTGTATGCACTTCTCTTTTGTCCTTCTTACTTTCCTGTAGCACTGCAGGGTTTAATGCCACATCCAACACAGAGTACCAACCTGCAGAGGGAGGATAAGAAAGCATTTTTTTTCTCTCTGATGTAACAGCTTGTAACGCTGCACAGCTTTATCATTTACCTTGACGTTCATCTGTGTCAGTTTCCAGTTTTCCTGCACACGCTGGCAAAGCCATGCTGGGATCTCGAGGCGCGGGAACGCGTTTCCAGCGGCATATGTTGATGAACAGTGACCCTTTCTTCGGCTCCTGTCGAGGACACAGATGTGCCGCCTGTCAAAACACACCCAATCTCTACGCTATAAACGTACACGGCTCTGACAACTCTGCTAGATGAAGCTTTTTTTTTTTTACTAGTGGATTTAAACTGTGGTTAGTGAAAATATTTGGTTTGCTCATCGTTATTGAGTCTTTACCAGGTTCTGAGACAAATAAGATCTCCACGCAGCTAATGTGAGACTCCCTTCTTTAATTGAAATGTTTATCAGGAGAAGAAAGATGTGCTTATTTAAAGCTAACTTACCAGTATTTCAGTGCATAAACATGAGTCGAGTTCAGGAGGTGAACAAAACTCAGCTCCTTCCTTCATCTGCTTCTTGATGAACTCATCGTATGCAGCAGGGTCACTTTGAGAAAGATCATCCAGGATCGACCAGAACTGGTTCACCTGCTGAAAAACATCCGGTGTACTTCCAGTAGACGACATCGTGAGGTGACGAGCTACTCCCGTTAATGAACTACGGTAACGTTATGACGTTATAGGTAACGTTAGCTGACTTTAGTTAACTAACGTTAACTAGGCAACGTTAGCTAAGTAACGTTAGTTGATGCTAGTGAGTAGGTGTTAGAAAAAAACAGCTTGTCTGCAGTGTTCCAAACAGATGTTTTTCTTGAAATAGACTCTAAAACATCTGTCCGCTTTGTAAACGCTAGCTAACTAGCAGCTGTCGCTAGCTTGTCTTATGTTTGTCAGTTGCTATGGAAACTTGATGAGACGCACCAACTGGTAGATCCGCCACTCAAGAAAAAAAAACACGGGACACAGTTTCATAAGAGCGATTATATATATTAAATACATGAACAGTATAACAGAAAAATGCATATTGATGTCTTCAGCCAGTCTCATCATTTAACGGACATGTAACGTAAAAATATCAAGTTTCAAACGTAGCATCGTGTTGTTCTTCGTGGCGCCTCCTCAGTAATTCTGCATAAAGAAAAAACGTATTAGCAAGCAGTGCAAAACATGTGCTTATAATCTATTGTAGGCTACGTTTTTCAAATCCTTGCTGTTGCTAGTGATAATCATGGCTGTGTATGAAATGTAACAAACATTTGTCTGCAGTGAAGTGAGAAACGTCCTCTTCTTTTATAAAAACACCACATCATTTGTAATATATTCTGCATTTAATCAGAGGAACAGAAGCATTAAGGCTACTGATGGCACAGAAGAATGACCGCCTTCCGTTTAAACAAACGGGACTGTTACTTGTTATTATAACTGCAACGTAAAACTTAAAAATGTTTTGGACTAATCAATGAATGAATAAAACTATAACTAGATTAATCAGTGAGAAAATAGTGTTTAGTTGCCGTCTTACTCTAGTCTTACCCATAATGCATCATATTTTGCCAGATGATCATATGTTGTTTAATATCATCATATGCTAAGTTTAAAATTAGTAAAAAGTTTTGTCTACCTCAATCATGTCATAGATCCAGCCCAAGAATTCAGCTACTTTGGTGTAAACTCCTGGATGGTTGGGTTCAGCACAGCCTGTCCCCCAGCTGACGACCCCTACCAGCCTCCACACATTTTCCTCCTGGCAAACCAGAGGACCACCGCTGTCGCCCTGGAGAAGTGGGCACCAACACCATCACCAACAAATGGTTTGAGAGAGGATCTTTATAACACCCTGCAAGGTAGTTTTTCAAAAACCCATCTCTGACCTGGCATGCGTCCACTTTCCCTTCTGTGTATCCTGCACAAAGCATCCGCGGTGTGATCTCTCCATTGTACATGCAGGAGCTGTTGCACTTCTTTGTGCTTATTATGGGAACTGGGGCTTCTTTCAGAGTGTCAGGGGAGTGAACTGATCGAGAAGATATGAAATGAACGCTGGCAAACTCTGTCATCATGTGTGAATTAGACTTGCAGTCGAGTAGCTTCTTACCACCATCAGGCTGTGTGTATCCCCATCCAGAGATCCAGCACTGGGTCCCTCCTGGAAGATCATAGTTGTACTGAGGCAAGCAGATGGGCCGAATTGTGTCTAGTTAAAGGGAATATTAATATAAACATCTTGGATACAGGAATGGATGACTCTGTTTTTGTATTTATATAATTTCTATTGTTATTAGAACATATATATATCATACTTTCCTCTCTTATAGCTGTGTCTTTTGGGTCTAATTAGCAATGTGTGTTTTCTAGCAATTTGTGTAATAAGCCTGTATGGAAATCAACTGCCACAGACTTGTGAGTTGTGTCCTCACAGCCAATTCACCTCCTGAACTCAATACACATCTTAGGGGTTGATGTTGTGTCATTGGGCGGCTCCTGTCTCGTTTGTCTGCAAAAGCTTGCAATGAGCCTCCCGCGCTTACCTGAGAAATTCAGCGGGGTCCGCAGTTTCATCAGGGCTATATCACTGTCGTGGCTCCTGTGGTTGTAGTTCTTGTTGTAAATGATCTTCTCCACAGCGTATCCTCTGTGCTGAGCCATTTTAGCCGAGCTACGGGTGACGATACCCGCGTAGACCACCCAGCTGGATACCTGAGGTAGCCTGTAGCTGACATTTGAGAAAAGAGAAGCCAAGGTAGACACTTATGAGAGAGACTTGTTGTGTGTCCACTTTGGTGCAGCTATTAATGGCTGATTATTCTCTTTCCAACGTAGCCCCAGACCTCTAAGTGCTAGTAAGGTCAGCTGTCTTACTTGTGCACACAATGGGCAGCTGTAACTACCCATTGACTGGTGATGATGGAGCCTCCGCAGGTGTGACGGTTGCTGTAGTAGAGGCTGACCTGCCAGGGCCACCTGCCCAGCGTGGCTTCGACTCCCCCGATTATCCTGGGCAACTTTGCTCGTGTCCCACACTCTAGTCAGAGATCCATTCATCAAAAAGCAGTTGGATTGGTCAGAGAGTGCTGTAGCAAGTGGGATCATTCTCTCTGTCTGCCGCTGATATGAAGCTTTTTTGTGAAGTGTGTTTTATAGAGCTATCGGGCTCGGTTTTTGTTCCAATGTCGAACGAAAGGTTTGAATGCTCACCAAAACATTGCAAGGCGATAACTTTCCCTGTGATACAGTTCCCCCTAAAGGAAAAACAAAGTTGTGTAACTAATGATGCAAAATTGTTTTCTCTGCATCACGAGGTTGGTGTCGGCCAAAGTGCCTCACCTGACTTGCCACATATTTTCCAGATTGCTCTGGTGTCCTGAGGTAATTTGTATGAAGCCATCATTATAGTTTGGCCCAATATCAGTAAGATTCACTCCTTTATGCTTGGTCAGTCTGGAGAAAATATGCAAAATGCAGACAGTAAGTGTTAAGATCATTCAGGCTCACAACGTGAAAAGGAAGATGGCAACTTATGTGTAGACAGATCATAACTAAACTGAGCCTTCAACCCGGGTAAAACATGCTAAGAACAGACTAAAAGACAGCGAGCGGATCCTCCAGTCTCATGCTGTGTCCAGGGCCGACGCAGGAAGTGATCCCAGCAGCAACGCCTACCTCAGAGAACCGAGCTGTCTGCAGACCATTGTTCCCAGTGAAGAGTTCCACCTCTCGTAGCACACTGGTAGCCAGGTGGGCAGGTTCCCCAGCTGAATCTCCAGGAGGGAGTTCTCTGGGCTGATCCTGTAAAACACTGAACCTGATTGATTGAAAATCCCTCCAGAGACGAGCTCTCAGTAAACAAGCGTCTTCTACGAGTGGCACAAGATTAGGCAAAACCCGAGCATCTATGCTAATGTGGTCAATAGAAACAAATCATTATGTGCAATGTCAACATGTCAGTCAATGGGCATCTCTCAGGAGTCAACAAGGGCAACAAAAAGCTGCTGTTGCATTTGCTACTGTTTCTGCTGAAAATCCCTCTAAAGATGCACCATGAGTCACTGCGATGAACCGTAATAATAATATGCAACCACACACGCATGCACTGCTAATTCATAAATCGGTGGAACAAATGCTGGTCTTCTAACAAAGAGAGAGATGAGGAAACACAGACCTTTCCTGGGGTCAGAGATAAAGATATCTTCTGACACATTGCAGAAAGACGTCTCCTTTGTGTCCCCAAGTCCCGCTGGACTTTGGGAGTAGGAAGGCCTCAGTAGTAGTTTCACTACATGTAGATAAAGATGTAATTAAAGTCTTTCAATTATGTGTTTGATTCTATTAAATGTTACCAGATTATCTAAATTAGGAATTAGGGGGGAAGATCCGGTGACTAGAAAAGAAGCTCACTAGAAGAATGACTGGTCTTGTATTTTTGACTGTTCCAGAAAGCTTCTCAAACAGGTAAATGTGCTTCTGAAGACATTTTTATCTTATTTCATTTTTTTGTGTTATCCAGATAAAACAAGCAATGAGGAAAGTTCTTCACAGTAATAGCCCAATAAAAAAAAGCCTTACAAAAGCTGATTTTATATTTTCCCCAAAAGTCCAGTGTCATCTGTGCTCTGCTGTGAGCTGGAAAGGTCAGTGTAACTATAACTAGATCATATAAATAGACTTTTGCACATTTCGTTTCAGCTGTTCACACGTGCTAATATACGGTGCTAATTTACTGATTCTGTCTCAACGATGACTCACCTAGAAACCAGACACCTACAGCTAAGCCTCCCAGTAGTCCGACCGCACACACTGCTGCCAGCAGCTTCACCAGCCTGTGAGCTGAAGCAACAGTTAACTGGAGTCACTGCCTCCGGATCCCAGTTAGGAAAATATTTTAACTGCATCGGTGACTCAAGACTGCCGTCTTACTTGTAGGCCCACCGAGTGGTGCGCCACGGAAGCTTACCGTGACTCGTGCAGTGAATCCCTCGCAGGCGGCCCCAGACTCCCTGCGTAGCTGCAACTCCCGCTGTTTTCTCTGAATGAAAAGGATGGCGATGAGCCGCCGGGTTCTCAATCACTGACAATGGGTCTTCATCAAGACTCTATAAGAAGTACAGTCAGCACGTCAGACCTTATTTGCAGCTTGTTCCTGTTTGTTAAAATCTTGGCGAGTTTGCTTGTCACAACAACTGCCTGCTGACCATCTGCTCCTAAAGAGCAGTGCACCTATCAGGCTCTGACAGATTGAATTAATAATACTGGAATCTTGAATATCAACCATCACTCAGAGCAGAGCAGTAGATGTGCCCAGGTGTGTGTGTGTGTGTGTGTGTGTGTGTGTGTGTGTGTGTGTGTGTGTGTGTGGGTGTGTTTGTTTATACATCTCTTTAGTGTGCAAAGTGTAATCAGCAATTTGAAGTCTGTTTTACAGACTCCTACGACACATTTGGATTTTAAGCTGTGTGTTTGTATTGGGCTTACTCTCCAAAGCTGAAGAAGCTATTTCTTTAAGCGACATATATTATTACAGCCAACGCATGAGAGCTCTTCACAGATTCAGACTAGATATTATACATTTACAGTACAAAATCCATCTGAATGAATGGCTCAGCATCTGCTCTTTTGCGTTGCTATGGCACTTGAGTGTAGCTAAACATGGATTTCTGGATAACTATTTGGCATGAATTGCATAAAGTGCGAGCACTTAAGATATTCTCAACAGCTGCGCGGCGTGGGTCATTTGATGCATATGAACGTCGTTTTAAAATGCGACAGAAACACGTGTGAACCAGTTCTGAAGTGAAAGCTACATGTGAAACTGCAGCCGCTCTTGTGATCCGGGATGGTGCGGGTGAGAATGTGACAGAGGTGTTGTTGTCCGG